GAATCTGACTGAAGAACTTATTACGCAATAGTTCGATTTAGTCGACACTCACAAGGCAGCGGATTCTCTGAGAAAAACCAGATGAAAGCTGGCTGAGTGGCAAATCTATGGTCACACAGTCTGAGCATATTTAAAATGCGGTCTGGCCCTGAGAATCGAATAGAATGGAGGGATGTGTGGAAGATTATTTGACTCCAAATTTACCTGCTAGTCGCAAAGACTACATGATATTTATGCTATGCTAAAGGAGACTAATGGGGAAGAAAATGTACTGAACCGTTAATCTCCAAAGCAAGGTGGTTGTTACTAAGAAAAGGAGAGAAAATTACCGAGTCTGAACGTCTTCGAACGACTTTATCGAGAAGCTGTTACTTGCGCTTTCATATCCATGATCGCGCAGGTCGAAACTGCTTTTCTGACCGGGTGGAAACACGTTTTCGGAATCAGCACTTCTACTGGTCAGGATCTTGTCATAGCTGAAAAAGAAACAAAATGCTTGATGAAGATTAAATGATTGCATTTGTACGCCTTCTTGTGTCCTCATCCAGCATACTATGCTGCATCTTTATAATGCTCGCTAATCGCGCTGTACTTACCTTGGAGGTATTCTTCCCGGCGGATGCTGAGGCAATGCCAGAGGCTGATCATTCCAATTCGTCACGTAGGATGTCTGGTCACCGAGAATCGCTGAACAGTACGGATCCTCACAGCCTCTGAAAATGTGTCGTTCAAACACTGATAAACACACATACATAACGCCTCAGGCAAATGTGTACCTTCGTGGGGAACCGTCCTCCAGGGACGGAATCACCAGCAAACGAATGGTCGACGAGATGTTCAACAACTCGAGAATCTTCTCGTAGTTCAGCGACGAAACCGAAACTTTACATATCTGCAAATTTAAAGTCATGGCATATTTACCACATTAATGGTTTGACGTACTTCTACAATTCGTGAGCCCTGCCGCAGCCCCGCCTGCCAGGCACAGCTGTACATATCAACTTCGCTCACGATTCCTTCGTGCTGAATGCGAACGCACAGCGGTTCGCCAGGATTTCGTCTGAGTATCATTCCCACAGTCTGTTTGTTAAAGCGTGAGTGATAAGCAGAGTTAATACAAAAATTTGGACGTGTGAAAATTTTTAGAAAACGTTTATTTTTCAAAATTCGAAGCAAGAAAAGTTACCTCACAACCTTTGCTGACGAACTGCAATCGTCTAATTATTTCATTCATCACCAACCCATCATCATCGTCCAAAGTACGTAAAATGATGACGTCCGCATGATCGTAGTACAACTTAACACTATAAAGTAGATGCCATTAAAAACTGAAGAAAATAACAGTTAATGTGAAGATGAACTCCAAACATTTTATACAGCTTACATGTTATCTGAATAATGCTATGCAACTTTCGTAGTCACTGCTAGCTGTACACCATTCTTCCATTCCAGTTTACTATATACAATATTATAATAACTTCCCTCTACCATGTCACAGAACAGGTAGCTACAATACGTGGATCCTTAATATGACATATTATACCGAGTTTATTATATACATATCCCCCATTTTGTATAATGCTCAATCGGTCTTTCTGCAGTGTAACTGTGTTGCACTGTAAAATGTTTTACATAATGTTTCTCCCTGAAGACGGGTCGAGCATGATTTAAACGAGATACGCGGTGCCACCTCGTATACAAATGTTAAAATTTTGAACTATGCTCGCTTACAAGATTTACAATTCTTTACACGTATTATAAACAAAATATTACTGGATTGAATTATGCTTTAATGCACTGTGGCATGAAGTAGTTGGTAGACTTGCACAAAGAACTATGTCATTTTGACATCTGCCTGATTAGGGATTGGTAATTGCCATTGTCAGTTTACAGTGTTGACTTTAAAAAAAATTCTGTTGTACAGCAGTAACTGATTAATTTTTAAAGTACCTGTTTCCATGTGAGGTCCAACCGATCACCGAATGTGTAGGTGTGCAAAAAAGAACATTTTTGGACGAATGTTCGATCAAAACTAGGTAATCCATAGAGATTCCGAGGTAACACTCGATCGGGCGACAAAGACTGAAGTCCTCCACCTACCGACATGCACAGAAATTAGCTATTTGACACTCGTCAATTTCAACAATCAGCTTACCTCAGTCAGCACTTGAACGTCCCACGTGACTGCGCCACGAATACACGAGTCAAGGAACACCTTGGGTTTCGGTCGGTCCTTGCGCTTCGGGCCAAGAATCTTGTCTAAACACATTCTGATCGACTAAACACGCTACACGGGTCAATTGATCTTACTGGCTATCTTCACCGAGGTGCCTTCCAATGACTGTGACGTTACGTGATGCTCAGACAATTCCCTCATCAGCTCCCTCCTGGTACGCGCAGCCATCTCCTCAAACTTGGCCGATTTGTGTACAGCGTTTTCGGCGTTTATGACTAAAGCAGCAAACAGTCTAGCATATTAACCACGATTCTAGCGTCACAGCGATTGTACTTTTCGTAAGCAGGAACTCTCTGAATTCCCTGCTTTTAGGAAAGTAGGTGTTATGCGCTATAGGAGGACCAAACGCGGCAACGCCTTTGCATCTCGATACGGCGACTCTAAAATACGTCTTTGTATATGCACTGATATAGGGCGAAGTCTTGATGTGCAGCATTCATTGCGCGCGTAGCAAGTGCAGATGCTAAACACTTTCAGGGGACAGTACAATAGGCCATGAAATCTGGACTTGTCGGAGCTACGCCTCACTTAATAAACACAGTTTATGCATTTACATGTTCTGATGTTGATGCAGGAGCATACAAGGTGAGATGAGTAAGCGGCTATTTCAATGAAAAAAACTACGCGAGATACACCTAGCATTGCAGATGCTCAAATACCATGTATCCATTACCTGTAAACATTGTCCCAAGGCGACAAGGAGCAAGGAAACGATGAAATATGCAAAAACACCTGATCAGGAGAGCGAGGAGGGAAAAGGGGTAAATCAACTAACAGAGTACTCTGACGTATGCACGCATGACGCTGCACTATGAGAACAATCATTCACAAATGCATTAATTGAATACAGTAAATTAAAATAGAACAAAGACTGGTTATTAGCAAATCCGCACCTGTAACGCACGTTGTCCGTGCTAGGGTTGGACACCCTGACGATGATGAATACGTGCTGGAAATGTGAGCGCATCGTCCGTGGGTTGAACGGCAGCGCGCCAGGGTCTTGAAATATGATCGTTACGATGTCGTTGCCGATGTGTCGCTTCCTCGAAAGCTAAAATAGAAACAAACCGTTATGAATGAACGAACATCTAAAAACTGAAATATAATCAAACAATTAAGGAGGGAACAGCCGGGTATAAGCCGCTAATATGGGTTTTGTCAGGCGCATAGCTTAACTCATGCGCATCGACTAAGTACGGAGTTCAGATATCCGAGAAAGCCTTGGTGTACAGCCGCTGCTTCTCCAGACTGAGACTGTACAGATGCCATGGTTTGAGCACGTACTGTGAATGCTTTCAGAGAGACAGGGGAAATAACTATTACAAGCTCAACCGACCAACCGATGACCCCGAGGACCGTCAAGAATTTCCTGAGGCAAGTCTCTCGAAGTCTCAGCTCCAGACTCGAGCAATATTCTGCTGAAGATCAAACGATGGCACAGGATCAGGAAAGTTGGCAACATTGTCTGTCGCGCCCGCTTCAGCGACCCGAAAGGATATACGGCCAGAGAAACTTTAAAAGTCTCTGAGCGTCGGTAGAAGATAACTCGAGTGTGTAGAAGAGTTCTCTAAATTGTAGACACTTACCTCGGGTCATTCTAAGCGGTTCCCGGGGTCTTCGGCTAGTTGGTTGGGTGATTTGTAGCTGTCTCGCCTTCTTTCCTGGAAGTATTCTCAAGGCGTGCCCAAACCAGTCGGAGTGCGTAACTACTGTCAAATCCGGAGTAAGATCTGCTACGATCTTGCATCTCAACTTAGCTAGCCACTTGAATGTTGAGTCAAGCCTGATGTACTTGTCTTCAGGTTTTTGTGAGGACTACCTCTTGTGACTAGCATACCTAGGATATGGCATTTCTTAGTGCTTATAGGGCAAGCCTGCAAAGAAATATGGTAATGAGTTTACGGTGCGTGATTCAGGCGAGTTCAAACAGCAACGCCTTGATACTGCAAAGATATTGAGGCCTATCAGTGCCACTGCAGACCGGCTGCAGTGGTACTGTAGTTCCTAAGATGCGCGTGTTAGAATAAAAATGGTACAGAGAAGAGGTTAGATATAATTACGATCTGTCTTAGAACTTTAGCTGCTTTAGCTAGTAAGGTATGTATTATGAAGCAGTTTCAGCCGCTAACATACCACTTGTAGGGCATGTCACCGTAGTAGTATTGGTTGCGATGTTTCTGATCAGACGTAGGGTGACTCTCACCCATTTCTCCTTTACAACGTGCGTCGGATCTTCGATATACTTCATGCATTCATTACGCATACAACTTAATCTCGTAAGTGCAACGTATTATCAAATTAGAAACAGACGCTTAACTTAATACAGAACAGAGCGTGTGCTAAAAGACATATCACATACTGCCTTTGGAATAATGCGAAATCATGTGTCGATATGCAGAACTGAACCATTATGTTTTCATTCAAAATTTGCGCTTCGGTGATCTGACACAGCAACGGAATGGTAAGACTTCATGTGGAAACATAGCACGTCTTGACGTGGGATAAAATCGGCTACGGCTACTCATGATTTCACAGTAAGCCTATTTAATGGCAACATGGCCTGCCACGTCATACACGTCACAGTGCCGTCTAGGTTGGGCAGTATTTTTTTTAACCAACCAGCCAGCGGATGGAATGCGGCACCCTCTTGCACCGTAAGCCGAGTCTGCCCAGTGAACCAATCCTGGGTTCAAGTCTCGGTTCGGTCACTCTTTTTTCTTCCTCCCGAGATTAATAAATGAGCATCAGTCTATGAGAAGGAAACAAAAGACTCACACGAAATGCTTGCCACATTCTGACTGTCGATTCTTCCTGTAAAATAAGGCACTCCTAGCTGATGGCAAAAAAATAAAGATCAACTCC